CTCGTCTGTGCACTTTTCGGTGTCTACCATGGCCACTCGAGCGAGCTTTGACTGTATTTGTTTGTTTGTAGGGACTGAGTGCTACAGCTGTAGTCAACGAGGAACTTGGCTTTTCAGCAGCTGCACTTGTTCTGTTTTCCAGTCTTCAGGAACTCACCGCACATGCAGATCATGCAGACCAAGTTCCCGCTGGCGGAGCTAGCGGAGCTCACCCTTGAGAGTCGACAGGAAGTCCGACCGAGCGGTCTCCGTTTCGTGTTTTTGTCACGCTTGTTTTAGAAGGCATGTGAATCTCGAAAACCGAGATTAGCCGTTGCTGATTGTCCACTCTTGCAGAAACACTCTGGAGGTGGCGCGGCGCTCCATCCTGGTGGCCGTCTCCAGTCTGGACCCAATGAAGGCCCCGGGCTTCAGCGTGGTGGCCCCTGAGCACTTTCCTGGACCCGGGGCACTGCGGGTCCTTCCTTTCCGGCGTGTTACGCGGCCTCGCTTTTCTTCTCACATGCGCGCGTGGGCGCTCTGGCGGATTTGTGCCCTCCTGTCAGCAACGGAGCTGGAACAAGTGGCGGCCATTTCTGCCTCCCGCAGGTGAGCAAAAGAAAAACAGAGTGTGCATTTTTCACTTAAGCTGGACGAAACGAGACAAAACGAGTGCGGTCACTAACCTGATTCAAAAGCACTTCTAACATTTGAGGCAGACCGAAAAACACCAAAAATCAAATGACACTTTTTCCAAACAGGCGCAGAATCCTGTCCGAAATCAGAAAAATACACGAACCTGTGTTGCGGGGGGGTGGCACGGATCTGTGTTGCGCGGAGATGTGGTGGAATTTGCTAGGCTCCCATGTGCTGTACTCGCAAAGGGCCAACCGGCTGAGGGCCCGGGATGAAAGGCAACAGGGCAGCGTCAGCCGCGGGCCTTGGATATGCGTTCCGCTACATAATCATGGCATGCCTTGCAGAAGGCACAAGGCAACCACTTCCTGGCAAGAGCTGGCAAACAAAAGAATATTAGCACAAGGTGCAACTCCGAAGAGAAGGCCTTCAAGACTCCAGCCAAGAAAAGGCTCACGCAGGTCCTTGGTAGGAAACCAAAGCACCTTGTAGAGAGGCAGCTGAAAGAGCCAGAGCAGCGGAACCTTAAAAGAGCTCCAAGGCAGCGGATGGTGATACTGCAATCCTGGCACGGTTGAGTGCTGGAACCCTGTGAATTGACCTGGTGGAGGGAGGTGAGCTGTTAGTAGCTAGCCAGACACTGTCGGACCCCTGGCTGGCTGCGTCTGAAGCCTGAGGGGACAAGGCAAAACGCTTAAAATACGTGGAGGGAAGGAAGTAGTGGCTTTGATAACCTCTCTAAAGGTAGAAAAGCAGGCTGTAGCTGGAGCGGAGCTGCTAGCTGAGCAAAGGCTGGCTGAGTCGGCGCAGTTAACAGACCTAGATGCAGCCAGTCAGTAATGTCCAAATGTGAGACGAGATGTTCATGCGTCTTCTAAGAAAGCAAGGCCAGCCAGGAAGATCCATCTGAAACAACAAGATGCGCGGCTCGACACCGCACCTGATAACAAGAGGTCCTGGAGGCAAGAGCTCTTGGGCTGTTCCAAAACCTGGAAGAGGCAAAGCATCTAGGAGGCACGGTAAGATTCGCAAATTTGTAAACTCAAGGCAAATGAGAATGCGAGGGCAGACGGTCCAGGAAAAGAGGAATTCCTGGAGGCAAGACTCTAAAAAATGGCTCTCATGCGGCTGCAGGGCAAAACCTGGGGCAAAGGCAAAGTCCAGGGGATGAATCCACCACGGAGGCAAAGGTGAAGACCTGGACGAATGCCTCAGCCAGCACAAGCCTACTCGCAAGCACGTTAAGCCCAGCCGTTTTCTTAAGCCGTCCATGAGCCCTTTTTTTGCAGCTGGCTCTTCTCTTGCGTGCTGCCCCCCCAGGTCTCTTCGAACCCCGGCCAGCACCTCAGCCTCCCAAGCCGCTTCGGGCCTGCGCCAAGATGCTAGTCAGAGCAGGTCTTCGTTGTCCCTCATGCTTTCAAATCAAACCGCTCTTTCTGCCTTCAGGTCAGCAGACCCCGGCCCCGCCCTCTGCATCCCCTGCCTTCAGCTCTTCTTCCTGCGACGGTCAGCCCGATTCGGCAGATTTTTCAGGATCTACTTGACCTGCGCCTTGCCCTCTGTCCGGGCCTTGCCTGCCTTGCAAGCAGTCAGCTGCAGCGTGCCTGTATAGCTCTTTCGGCTGAGAACTCATGCGGGGGCATCAGCAGCCCCGCCGCCAGGATCAGCGCGCACAGCGCTCCCCCTGGCCTTCCTATGCCAATAGCCCTGCTCTCCAATGGAATCAGGGCCAGCCGACTGCCAATATGACCAACCTCTCTGCCATGGGCTGTATGAATGCGGGCCTGTCGGGTCCCCTAGCCTTCGACCCTGATACCAGTTCTGCCTATGATGCTCTGCAGCCACAGCCTTCTACCCAGGACTTCAGCCAAGAGCTTACTGACGAGCCAACAGTGCAGTCCCTTGCCGATCGCCTAGATCTTTGGAAGCTCGCGTCGGTATTTTGGAAGCCGACCGCCGTGGCGCGCAGCAAGCCTTGTGGCACCATAGCCGTCGAGCACATGAGCAACCGCGCCTTCGTTGCCTTCTTTCGCCCTGGGTTTTTCTCAGTGCCAAGGTGGACTAGGATACGCTTGGACCAGACTTACGCCAGGGTAGCCGGGCTGCTCTTGACACTTCAGCAAGCCTTCCCTACGATAGCAGTCTACTTTACAGAGACAGCCGTTGACGCCTGCCAGTATCAAGGACCCTCAGCCTTGTTGGACTCCGAAGGAGATCCAGAAGCGTAGCCTTCCGCATCCAGCCTCGCACGCCTGCCAAAAGACCCCTGCAGCCTATTCATTAGCCGCTCCATGAAGCTTTTACCGTGATATCCCTGCTCAGGTCCAGCCCTCTTCAGGCCTGGTTTTTTCCTTCGCAAGCATTTGCTGACCTCCATGCCCTGCGGGCCAGGCTACATGCTCCACAGCCGGTGGAAGTTACAGGACCCGGGTGTGCATTAGCCTCACGTTAGCGGTTTTCCTTCATGCGCGATACAATGCACACCCCCAGAGCATTTTCGTTCACAGCGCCTATGGGAGCTTCAGCGTCCTCCAAAGCCATGGCGCCTTTGCAGATTGGCTGAAGACCCTGGCCCCAGAGGAGTTAGCCAAGCTCAAAGCCTTGCATTCCGCCTCGGCGCAGACGGCAGCCGACACAGCCGTACAGGATGATGCTCGGCCTTGCGATAGTTCTTCCAGCCTATCCCCACGTAGCCTTCTTGTCTACCAGAACCAGGAAGCCTTCTATCACGCCCAAGACGGGTGTTACACAGGCCCTATTCCAGCTTGTTTTGACTACGTCCCGCCTCAGGACGTGGAAGACCTTGATGATGCCGACACGGCCCAGCCTTCCACCGCTCCCGGAGTGGTTTTCAGCCGAAACGGGGGTGCTCCGCTACTGGCACTTCGGTGCCACGGGCCAGGGCAACCCCCGCAATATGGGGAAGCAGTCGGTTCCTGCCCTTTGCCTTCAGGACGTGAAAAGCTCTCCCGAGCCTTTGGTCGACAAGCGGAAGAACCTTATCATTGACCCGCCTGCACAGCCTTACCAGTACAAGCCGCCGGCTATGGCCCTACCAAGGTTGCCCTGCCCTAACATGCGCAACTGCATTATCATCCCCAGCCTTACCCTGCCGCACACCTTCGAGCTTGACCCAGCCTTCGCCAGGGTTTATTATATGGGCAGCCGTGGTGAGATGCGTTGCGGCCTTCCCTGCTCGACCGTGCCTTTCTGTCCATACCATTCAGCCTGCGGACGCGAACTCAACGAAGGGACCGTCGAGCATAGGGACAAGCACTCCGGCCATCAATGTTCGCGCTGTAAAGAATTTACAGACCTTGGCCGCAGCCCTTTCGAATGGTTTTCCGCCGTACCCCCGCAGGCCTCCACGGGCTAGCCGTTTGCCTTTGCAGCCTTCACTTGCCTTCTTCCGCCTTTGCAAAGAGTTCTCTACCAAGTTAGCCTTCAGTCATGCTCTAGGCGCAGGCACACGGCAGTTTTAGCGCCGCACGACAGCCGCCATCGGCCCACAAAAAGAGTGCATGCCTTTTGTGCTCCGCCGGTCTTCTCACATCGAGGGTGCTGTGTTCCTTCAAGCCCTCACCTGCAGGACCAACCTGGCCTTTCAGCGGCGAGCTCAGTTTCTGCACACGTTGCGCAGCTTTTGCCCTTCATTGCATGCCGTCAGCCGATCATGGATCCAGACACAGAGCCGGACGACCAGCCTTCACAGCGATGCTCAGCGAACAGGAAGATTCCTACCTGCTCCACTGTGGGTGCTCTCGGGGTTTCTTCACCCGGACGAAGATCAGCCTGCAGCCTCCCAACCAGATCGCAGCAGGAGCCCCAGCCGAGAGAGCCATATGTCACCAACACAAGAACGGGCCACAGTGGTCCGACGCTTTCGGAAAGACGCTTCTGCCTTCGCTTCAACAGTGAACCCTATCCCGCCAGGGGCAGACAAGCATGTTCTCCTGCCCCTGCAGTCGGTGCCCAAGACGCGGCCGGGCTTGCCCCCCCCACCAGCCTTGCCACCCCGGCCCCGCCTTATTCAGTCCACAGCCTTATCAGACCTCGCTCGTTGCAGGTGCCCATGCCTTCAACTCTGCACAGGCGCCCGCGATTCCCGCCTGCTCTCAGCAAACGGCGGCTCCACCAACCGCCGGGACCTCGACCCAGCTGGCGGGCCAGCCTTCTGGGACTCAGCCATCCGGTCTGTCAGCCCTTAGTGCGGCCAGCCCCGAGAAGCCTTCGGTACGTGCCACCGCCACGCCCACCGCCAGGACGGAGGCTTCCAGGAAAGCCAAAGCTCTGGAACAGTGGAAGAACTTCTGTGACTCCTGGGGGACTCGGCAGATTTGTACCGTAGCCTCAAGTATTCTCAGCAGCTACTCGCCCAAAGCATTATGCCATTTACTGCCGGCACGCTGGAAACCTACTTGTCAGCCTGCAGACAGTTCATCGAGTACCTCATCCTCAACAGCCTGGAAGTCAGCTCGGTCTCCGTAGCTTGCCTTGGAGACCTGCTATGGGCATGCCACTCCAGCCTCGAAGAAGATAGAGAAGTGTGCCGAACCGGCCCTAAGCCGATGATCAAAGCCCTCTCATGGCTAGCCAAAACAGCCGGCCTCGCCCAGCTTGCGGCTGTGCTGTCAGACCGCCTCATCAGGTCCTTTACGGCTCAAACCGACACGGACAGGAGAGAAGCCTTGCCACTGCCACTTGCCGTGGTCATAGCCTGGGAGCGCCGCATATGCCAGCCGGAGTGCCCAATAGAACTTTGCCTTCTGCTAGGGGGATTCCTGCTAGCCTTGCACGGTGGATTGCGATTTGGGGATCTTCAGCGCATCAGCCTTAAGAGCCTCTCCCTCACAGGACATAGCCGGCATACGAAAACAACCAAGCGTGGTCAGCCATTCGCAGTTCGTCTCCATGGAATCTCCGGCCGGGACCCGGCAGGCCTTTGGGTGCTGCCCTTCCTCAGAGCCGTGCAGACGGTATGGGAGCGTACTGAGGAGATCTACGGCACGCACAATTGCCCCGACTTCATACTGCCCACCCTGCACAACCTACGGGGTTTCCCAGGCAAGCCAGCGGCAGCCTACCACCAGCCTATGTCGTACAGCCAAGCGCTAGGGTGCCTGCGTTTCTTCATGTGCCGCCAACATCTGGAGGGCAACTCTCGGAGCTGCTCACACCAAAAAAAGCCTCCGCCTTTACCATGCACAGCCTCAAGGTTTGCCTGCTCAGCGCCGGTGCGCAGATTCAGGCCGCCGATAAAATACGCCAACAACAAGGCCACCACAAAAATCCTAGCGTACAGCTTTACGGGAGAGACGATACCCTCGGAGCTAGCCCTACAAACTGAAATCACCCAAGCATGTGCCTTAGGTTGGAGGCCCTCGCGCCCAAGCGCCAGGGGAGGACAGCACCCGACAGTGGAGCCGCCTTTTTCAGTTAGCTCGTCCTCGCCACCCAAATCCTTCCAGCTCTCAGCCCTCGGAAAGGGCCTCGACAGATTCATCTACTCACGTGAAGCCGAACTGGAGCAGGTTTGCTTCGACACCCAACCAGCCGCCGCGGACAGTGCCGATACTCAGCCGGTACCGAGCACTGCACAATCCGAGCAAGAGACACTTGGAGCCAGCAGCCTCCCTCCGATCATACCCGCAGACGACATTGAAGCCTTGCTAGTAGAGAGCTTTGCGGTTACGCAAGCCGATTCCTCCGACTCGGAGGACCATGCTACCCCGCCGACAGTGGAAGACATAGCCTTGTTCCAGAATGGACCGTGGGGATCCGTGCACGCACAGCCGTTGGGAGCCGACAAAGCGGCCTGCGGGACGCCCCGCTCCACGGCCGCCTTTTGCCCTACTTGTCCTAACACAGCTTTTTTCTGCCGCAGAGCGGCTTGCCGACGCCTGCTGGACGCACTGCCTTAAGGAAAACGCGGGCGTGGCATTGTGCGTTTGCCGGATCAGCCTGATCTTTTGCCATGCCATTCCTACCGCAGCCGTTTAGGCTTACCTCACCAGTTGCAACTAGTCTGCCAACAAGAATGGCGCTCTGTGAGCAATCGGAGCTCGCAGCCTTCCTGCAAGCGCAGGGGGTGCACGAAGTAGTCTGCAACGGCCTCGCCCTCAAGGCGCTTGAGACAGTGGAGGACCTGGCATTTGCCTACCCAGACCTTAATAGCTTTGACACCTTTTTGCAGAGCCTCTCTGAGTCGGACCTCAGCGATATGGGGGTCTCAGATGCACTACATTCTGTCCAGGCAGCACGAGCCAGGAAAGCCTTGCGCTCAGCGCACAAAGCACAGGAGGGACCTCAGCCTTCATCTGCGATGCCATCCCTCCCAGCAGCCCTAGCCCCTTCGGCCTCACCATCCTCATGGATGGAACATCTGCCGCCTAAGCTTAGCTCGGAGGTCGTGCAGGATTTATAATCACGACCTTCAAAGCCAACTATCCGGGAGAGCTACTGGACGACGATACGATGCCATCAATCCGCCTTCTTAGCCTTGTGCAACACAGCCTTCAGCCAGGAGAAAAGCTTAAGTGGATCCCATGGCAGCTGCGCCTGAGCTCCAAACAGTATTCCGAAATTATGGAGGCCAAATCATCTAAGCCTATGAGGACGGAGGCCCAGCTCCTCGCCTCAGCCATATATGACGACACGCCTGAGATGGCCGTCTCCCATCTCCGCCTTTCCGTGTCCTGGCTACAGCGCATCCAAACGGTGTTCCGGAACGCTTGGGCACTGTGTGGGGCAGCCCACCTTAACAACCTCAAAGCCTTCGACAAACGAGTCGAGCACCTAGCCCTGCCAGACTTAGCCGACTCGTCCCTCCGAGGACCAACAACCCAAGAGCTCTTGGCAGCCGATCGCAAGATTTGGAACACCATATCTAGCCTGGCGGCTTCTGGCTGGAGCCTAGACGAAGCCCTGTACGAGGTCACTAGCATTCGGAGTGACCTCGCCAACTTGCTTCAGCCAAGACCGCGGCCGCCGCCGACACTACCGGGTCCTAATCGCCGTCCCAATGGAGGAAACCCACCCCCCCCCGCCAAGCAAGAGAATCAATCCGCCTTAACACGCCAAGCACCGAAAAAGGCGGCAAGGGAAAGGGCCGTGGCAAAGGCCTTCAGAAGCCAGATAGCCCATCGAAGTCTGACTCGTGGCCTTCTAACTGGGTGTTGAAGGCCAAGGGCAAAGTGCTCTGTAAGCGTTACCAGAGGAATCTCTGCGCCTTGCCTAATTGCAAATTCGCCCATCTCTGCCTGCGCGGTCCGGGGCTGTGGCAAGGAACACTGTGCAGTCGACCACGACAAGAAGCCTTCGTGACTACGACCCGCAACGGATGCTCAGCCGCAGGAGCAGTATCAGCCTCCGCCCAAGCCAATACCCGGAGCCTCACAGCCCGCAGCTACGGAGCAGCCTCAGCCACCCGACAGCCCTCAGCGCCCTCCGCCGATACACCAAGGCACAGAGCGACAGCAAAATCGTCAGCCTCGGCCATGCGCGACTCGCAAACCCGGCGGGGGTAAGCCCTCAATAGAGCCCAGTCTTAAGACCTTAGCAGTTTCCCCTTCCATCCCCATCGGCTCCAGCTGCCTACGTCACGCACGCGACGCCAACGTCTGCGCTATAGACCTTGCCCTCGAGGATCCCCAGCAGCTGCCTGACCTCCTCCTTCAAGCAATTTGGTCCCGGGTGGTTCTAGGCATCATTGCAGACCTCAGCTTGCCCCACACCTCAAGGAAGCCTGCGCATTCCTGCAAGCGGTCCACGACGGGGGGCCTTTCCCACTTGGCCCTGCGCAGACCCGCCCAGTCTCCAACTCTAGCATCAGCCTTGCAATGCCATGGGGAGCTAGCCAACGACGGGCCCCCATATGTGATGGAGCTGGTAACGCCAGCTCCGCGGACTGGAGCCGGCCTAAACGTCGGAGTGAACACAGGAGTCTTTGACGCCATCGAGCCCTCAGGGCTCTCACCTCTAGCCAAAATTCAGCCTTTAGCCTCATTAGGACTGGAGGTCTGCGAGGGCAACTGGAAGCGGCGGAGGCAGACCTGGACACCGAAGTCTTTTGGCAGAAGAAGAAGCGGCAGGTTGGATACAGTCAGTGCCAGGAGGCCTGGAGGACAAACGAATGTGGCCTAAGGGAATTGCCGTCGGTAAGCTCAGCCTGTCAAAGCCGAAAACCGAGACCCGGATAGCACCGTCTCGAGCCACTTTCACGCCCTCAGACCCACGGAGGTCATTCCTCGCAGCCAGTGTCGACTTCAAGGCAGCCCACAAGAGAGTCAAGGTCCACAGCTCAGAACAGGGTCTGCTCTTATTCATGTTCGAAAAAATCAGATGTCGTATGCCACTTTGGCGCCAATTTTTCCGCCTACTGGTGGCAGCGAGTGGGAGGACTCATTACGCGAATCGCACACCGTGCTCTAGCCTTTGCTCCCCACAAGGCTGTATGTCGACCTCTTGTCAGCCCTACGAGCCGTGCCGGAACTCTTGTTCCTTCTCATAGCGACACTGTCAAGCCTTGGTCAGCTGAAAGCCTTGCTCGCACGCAAGAAGGCCCCAGGAAAGACTTAGAGTATGTGTCGGCCTCCTCATGTGGGCTACAGCCATCAGGTCCTCCGAGCCCATGTCGCACCTCTGTACAGTGTCCTTAACAGCCCTCCGCGAAGCAATTGCTCTATCTCACCTCGAATGTGGCCTTCCTCCACAGCCCTCCAGAGCGGTCGTCTGCAGGCTCATACCCGGAGTCAACTTACCGCTGAGGCCCGGATCATCGAGGTCGGCAGTCGACCCGTTTACTGCAAGACAGACCTTCCGCCACAGCCCAAGTCTTCGGGTCCCACTTGGGTTCGCATCTCCGATCCCACCTGCCCGAAATCAGGCCTACGGTGGCTCCTGCCACGGATTGAGGCCATTCCAACTACTAGCCTATCACTTCCGCCCCTGGTCGCATGCCCAGCCAGAGCTAACGCCATGGCCGAAGGAGACAGAATCCAGGATGCCCAGAAATACATTGCCTGCTTTGAGACGTTGGCTCAGCTTGCTTGCCATGCCAGCCCGAGAACGCCACGCTTCTCACAGTTTTCGGTCTGCTTGCCATCGAGGCCCATTGTGGCGAAGCCAGAATTGCTTTCGTTTCGTTGCCCCCAGAAACGGGGTCGTCCGCAGCATCATTTCTTGGGCCTGCTTCTATATCCACTGGAGATCAGTCCAGTTTGCAATGTCATTGAGGTATCTTGAGGATCTTTTTAAGCCAATCGAGATCTTTGACGTTCAAAAGGATGCATCGCTGCGACACGATCATCGAGCTCCTGTCTAGGATTGCCAAGATCTATGGCTCCATGGAGTCAGCAATAGCTAATAGCTTGCAAGATCATCGAAGCTTGTTGAAGCCTTTTCTAACTCCAGCAAGTGGACTTGGAGCCAGCTCCGGCTTAGAATTCTTTGTAGTAAAGAAAGAAGAAAGGCAGCCCACGTGTTCGTTCAGGTCCGAGGCTTCTGGTGACCCCTTTAATACATCCGGGGCCACATAAGCCACAAACGTGTGGTTTTGAAGCCACATCAAGACCACTTAACGTGTGGTTCTCAAGCCACATCAACGTGTGGTTTTGAGGCCACATCATCTGAGCGGTCACAAGGTCCCGCTTTTTGCAAGGAGTCCCAACCGGGTCCCCCCGGGCCCATCCAAGTCCCACCTTCTGCGTCACCGAATCCCGTTTTTTTGCTCGCCGGGTCTTATCCGGGTGTCACCGGGTCCCATGTTTCCCACACAAGAAGTTTCATCTGGTTGTCACGTGTCCCATACTTTGCTAGCCAGATCGAATCCGGGTCCCACCGGGTCCCACCGGGTCCCATCCGGGTCCCACCTGGGTCCACCCGGGTCCCATTTTTCTAGGGCCGGGTCCCACACCCCGTTTAGGTTTTAAAAGTTTAAATGAACGGCGAGGCGGGACCCATGCACGGTTTTTGTGCATGGAGCTGCCTTTAGCATTGTAGTCCAGGTCATGTCCCAAACGGTGTCAACACTTCTTCAGTGAAAGCATGCATGAATCAAAGCATGTTCTCGCGAAGCTCGCACTGCTTCAGCAGTTGAGGCACTCTCGTTTGCCGTGTGCTTTCCGAAGGTGGAGGAACGAGATAGAGAAGATTAGCATGGCCCCTGCGCAAGGATGACACGCGCAAGCCGAGAAATCTACCAACGTGAAGCACAAGATGCAGGGACAGCTGCAAGCTGCAGGAACTACAAGACCAGAAGAGTGCAGAGACTACGGTAAGATTGTAAGCTCCGAACCCACGAGGGAGGCTTTGGAAGGCTTCAGTTTCTGTCTCGAAACCCCACAAATGACGGTTCGAGAGGCTTTGCACTGTTGGTGAAAATCGCAAGCTTCGCGACTCCAAATGTAGGGCTGGAAAAGTCCAGCAATTCTGGCTTCGCTTGAGCGGGCCTCCCCTGTGCCCGTTTCTTTCATGTTGATTTAATGTACTTCCATAAGAAAGCAAGGCTTGGAAGCCTTAATCCTGAAAGCTTGTTTTTTTCCAAGCTGGACGCGCGCCTGTGTGCCACAGTCGCCTTGTTGTGTAGCAGTCAGGCGGACGTGCCTCAAAGTAGAAGAATTCGCGACCCCCCAAAATGGGGCCGTTTGGCGGCCCCATTTTTGGGGTCGGGGTTCCAAGCCTCCAACTCATGCTCAAACTATATATTTAATGAGGCCGGGCGCATGTCGCAGCCCTGTTTTCGGGGCCGCGAAACGGCCCCATTTTTGGGGTCGCAAATCGCAAATGTTCGGGGCCAACCAGCTGGATCTCGGGCGTGCGCCTGCCTGCCTTTGTTCCCGCAGTTTTGGGCATCATGCAGACGCAAGATTGAAAAGCCAGAAGTCTTGTCCAAAGCAGCTGCACGCTCACCTTAAATGCCACA